ACTAGGATCATGTATTATTCCTTCAGCACTTCCATTAATCTTTTGGTTATCTCTAATTCGTTACAATCGATCCTCTACAACATGGAGATTTTAGCAAGTCACTTGTAAATATAGCGCTTAATCTATAGTATTGCACTCAATTCTAGAAATTATATTATAGTCGTTTCTGCAGAAATTGCGGCAGCGCTTTTGTGAACGTCTTTAAGGCACATCAATAATCACAGTTACTATGAGAGACGCCCTGCTTTATGCTTGGAGATTCAAAGGCATCACAAAGGATATGCGCAGTCGCGGTTGTCTAACGGAGCTAAATTAATAGTTGATATGCAGTTCTTTAAATTTTATAGCGATCAATTTTCCCGCAGAAACTGTCAGTCACTACATTGTCAGTTGATTTCATATGGCTTGAGATGTGGTAATATAGTAAAAGGATGATTAGAGAAGAAATATCGAGTGTTTAGTAATAATACTGCCAAACAAAAATATACAAAGACGTCAAACATATAAGATAATTAGCAGCATATTTATGAATACAATATCAATGTTGAAGTTTGTGCCTCAGAAGAGAAGAAACTGTAGCAGACTTTTGGGCATTCAAATTCAAAATTGTATAGAGCAATAAGATGTCACGTTCGACTGTTCTTGAATCTTGGCATTCCGAAGACTTGAAGTGCAGCTGGTTTTAGGAATGGACCAAGATCTTAACTATCCTTTATTGGCTAACGTTTCGTCTTCGTCAGGGCCTGGAAAGTCGAATACGTAAGCGACTATACTCTCAGATGCCAACAAAAGGCTCAGGATAACATAATTAGAAGGAAGTTAAAACACTCACCTTAGATGACAGCAAAGGTGTGCAGAAAACAGAACCTAATAATAAAACTGCGCCTCAATCTCTTTTATATGTGTCGAGATAACCTGACCCATATTCAAAACCACAAAGGGATTGATAAAGGGCGAGACCTGTGATGGCGAGCACTCATTCTTCCTAATTTTTGGATTTTTGGCTCAATCCGCTTCCATTTCGCACACTAGGATTTCCTACTCGTACGACAAGATTTACACTCCAACTTGTATCTCAGCATTGTTGTGTTGAGCTAGAACATATGAACCAAAGGTGTAGCAGATTGACTTTCTCAATCCATCTAGATGTTCCTTAATACGACTGCAAATTCGTCCAGTCTCGTCGATGTAATTATCACCAGACAAGCAATGATAAGATAACAGCGGATATCATACAATTATCCTCTCTGCCAAAGGTAGATTACACAGCCTGGGCTCAAACAGTACGATAGTAAGTGCGATTGCAAACTAGCTACCCCTTAAGGTTTGCGGGCGGAATATCGACTCTAACGTCCTACAAGCCCGCAGGATTTACTCAACGTCTTACCGCCCTGTTCTTCTCATCTGAGATGATTGGCAAGCAAAATGGTATGTTTTATGTTTCGTTGTGATTAAATTAGTCCTAGTGCGCATGGCCTGCGAGTCTTGAAGAAACACTCCCAGACCAAAGACTAATTGACCTTGCAATTTGGCGGGCATAAATATAGAGAAAGCGCGCTCCTGGCGACTGGATGAACCTGGGCTGCAGTCATGAGCATATTCTGTACTATGGAAATTTTCATATCGGTGGGGTGCGTGGAGAGGTTATGTACAAGGGTATTATTGCTGCTGGGATTACGGTAGCACTTTACTTAATAGTCCCCTTTGACGGGTGATTTGCACATTCAGCGAGACAATTTTTGCTAGGCTTTTCCCTAGTAAATTTGATGCTTTTAAACTGCTGATTGAGGATATTGAAGCAGATGTCCTCAGTTTGAGAGATACGATACAACATTCTTCTATATAGCGAAAGTACAGCGGTGGCTTGAGTTTCAAGACTGGCGC